CAATTTTACCTGAGGAAGAAGCTAAAAGGATTTGAATCTCCAAGGGTGGATGAAGAGGCGGAGGGTGTGAGGACGAGAGAGAGGGTGGGATACACACCCCAGGACCCGATCCCTTAATCTTTCTCTGCCAAGCAGGGAGCAAAGCAGAGCAAAAATGGACATTTAGAGATGGTTCAGTGGCACTGAACCCTCAGCATCAGGGCCTGCCTGCTGAAGTGGTGGAGGAGGCAGGGAAACCTTGAAAAACAAGAAGTGGGGGGGGGAAGAGATGAGAGACAGTTTCAGAAGGATGGCCAGGGGAGCCAGTTTCAGCTCCCAGAACAGCTTCCAATACTTTTAACATATAAGAAAGAACAACAGCTCTCTCCTCACACCATCTGTAACTATGTGTACTAACAAGACAGATGGAGGCCAAAGATGCAGACAGATCACATCAGGACATCTGTCACTTCGTGGCAACAGCCTGCTTAATAAGTGACAAGGCTTCCTCACCCATAGGCACAGGATGGGGGGCGAGGTTAGTGTCTAGGAGCAGTGGCTGTGCGAAGCAGCCGTCAAAGTCATGTGGTACCCCCCATTTTTTTAAAACAACTTGTCCCAATTACAGCCAATCACATGTGAACTGAGCCCGTGATTATCATCCTGGGCAGTCGACATCAAAGCTGCCTTATATGGGTGCTGACAAGCGGCTGTGCAGTAATTAGTGAACTTCACCGAGGAGAGTTTCATCACCAAATGTTTTGAAAATACCGAATGTCTTCATTTGTAAGGAGGGGCTGGGGAGGAGGGGAGGTAGTTTGCGTCGAGAGAGAATGATGCCCTACAGAAATAATTAAACACATAATTACAGCTCATCAGCTGTGCAAGCGCTCTCAAAGTGCTGTCGCTGAAGATCTGTTGCTTTCCTCGGGGCATCGGCGGAGTAGCAGGCCACATACAGATCCCAAATTCACTACACGACTGCTCCTACAGCAAATGAATGTGTACGCTCAATGACCAGACATTCCACCAAGATAATAAATCAGCTAGAACAGTCCAAATTCAAATGAATTTCTGTTGCAGTCAAATCAGTAGTTAGTGTATAAGTGCTTATTATCCTCAATAAACACCTGCATTTGTTAAAAATATGTTGTCTACCAAGGACAAACCAGACAGCGCTCATCAAACCAGAGATCCCAGAATGCACAGCAGGTCGTTAAAGCAATAAGTTGCCTCCTCAGCCGACGTGTCAAACTGTGTGCTCTGTAAAACTGAGATGCGCTCATGCACAGGCGCCAGTGAACCTTTTAACTTGACATCATGTTAGCTCTGTCCCCAGGTTGCTGTATGGGTTGATGGCCATTGGCTCTGTGATGACCTCTACATACAAATATTGTTGTCAGTCCAGTCCTGTAAGAAGAAAAGAATTTAAGTGTTTGTGATGAGTGCTAAGGCCATAGTTTGATCCCAAGGAAGTAATGAAGGCTGGACTGTAGGTAATGTTTTCTCTATTACCTGATGGCAGCCTTCTAGCAACCCCAGTGTCAGGCTGGCTTAAAGCCATGCAGCCTCCTTCTGCTACTCCTCTGGAGTTCTCATGTCATGTTATGCCATGGCACAGTTGTCATAGTCGAGCCTGGACTCGTGATGTATGTCCTATATGTGGTTAGGAGAGTGTGTTTATTTATGTCTGTGTATGCTGAGCACAATATACAGTAGGCTAAAAGTATGCTAGGCTCACTGGTGTTGAGTCACTGACAACATTAGATCACTGTATAGCTTAATGCTGCTTTGATGCTAGGTAAATACTCCTAAATGGGGTTTGCTAGAATTATTTATTTATTTATTTGCAGTTCTCATACATTATTACATGTATAACTCAGCTTCTAAAGCACCAGTGGTTTTTCAACATATAAGCTGGATATAAGTATAGTACCTACAATAATATAATAACTATAATAGTATAAGGTCTAGGCCTGATTATGTAAAGTGCCCTGTGATTATTGGTGTTGTGAATTGATGCTATACAAATAAAAATGAATTGAATTTAACTGAATTATGATACTATACACTTACAGTATGCGTTACAGTGATTAGGTCTGATAGATTAATTACTTAATTAATTAATACCAATTACTTACAATAACTGGCTGATAAGCAGTTCAAAACTACAATTTAGCTTGCATCCAAAACATATGTAAATACAAATCAGTGCTGTTCACTGCAGCAAAACTATAATATGTAGTAACTTCAGTTCCACCAGGGGGCGGCACTATCTTAGAAATGTGCTCTACTGCCATATCTTCAGCCTGTTCTGATAAAATCAGGTTTATGTGTTTAACAAGTACAAATTAAACTATATTAATATTAGGTTTGATCATGAGGGACAGTTATGATAGTGGATCTCAGTGAGTATTTGTACACACTGTAAAACTGTCATGCTTCAGTCTGAACCTCTCTCAAGCCCAAATGAAAGCTTTGCAGAAAGAGAATGCAAACAACCTGAGAGAAGAAGTCCACCATAATGAACAAGTCATATGACAATGCAAACAATGCTGCAACAATGATTTCACTCAGAGAGGAACTATGAAAAAATTATTTGAATTTTAAATGGACTAAATACAGCACATTGTGGGTTTTTTAAATTGAATGTAGTAGTCATTATTTAGTTAAGTCATTTATATAAATATGAGCTCCCTCAGTGTTTACATGGACACAACTCTCCCTCTCTCTCTCTCTCTCTCTCACACACACACACACACACACACACACATACACACAAACAGATTGTCATTAGTAAGAACTAGAGCATAGTTTGAAAAGGAACAGTACTGATGGCCTAGTCACCCTACACTACCCTATGTTCCTGAACAATAATAAGTCACTCATATTATGTTGTATGAACTGACCTAAGAAGTAAAGTATATTAGTACTGTGTGTAGGAAGTGTAGGCTAAAGGCTGTACTGTGTTTTAAATTACAAATTGAATGTTAGAAATATAATCTGGTGCAGTAAATAATATTTATTATTATTATTAATTGAAGTGGAGAATGCAGATCTTAACAAAACATAATAAGACACATAATAATAAGAAATACATCTGACTATTACTATATTTCACATAATTACTATCCACAAAAAATAAAACATAAAAACACTGAATGTAATGCGGTTATAAAACATTGTGACTATCATGTATGCATTCATGATAGTCACAATGTTTCGTAACCCCAGTTAAAGGACCTGGGAATTTTCCCAGCTGCGATTTGATCCTGGTGTTCCAGGTCATGCTGGGCAGTCGCACTGTGCCTGATATACAGTGTTAAAGAAAACATTGTCTATACACTGCTGTGCAAACAATGAATAAAAGAATCAAAACATTTTTAATTTCATAGGGTTTTAAACAGCCATTTTTTTATTTTTTTACAGATGTCAAGGTTCAACTGTACAGTTACAGAAAATATCTTGAAATACGTTTATTGCTGCAAAAGCACCACTGCGGTGCAATTTTTTCAGAATTTTTAGTTTTGAATAATAGCAATAATAGTATAGCAATAATAATATAGTGTAATAATATTATATAATAGCAACTTTTATTTATATAGCACATTTCAAAATCACTTTTACAAAGTGCAGTGCAGAGAGAACAGACGGTGACAGGGGCAAAATAAATACGTACAAACAACACGCAGGGTAAATAATAGCAATCGTTAACAAATGAAACAATAAAATGTGAGTGTCACTGTGAGCAGGCTGTGCACAAGGAAGAAAATCTACTGTCTGTTCTTTCAGAGGAAAAAATCTGTTGCATCAAAAATAATATCATGTTTGAAGATGTTCAGAGAAGTAGAGAAAAGAATCAGATTAGACTCTTTAGATCATTTTGGTGCGTAACATGAAAATGCATTACAAGTGCATTTAAACTGAAATGCATGAGCTCTGTATACCGGGTTATACTGTGCCTACACCAGTGTTTCCCGAACGGTGGTCCTCCAGTCCACTTTGGACCAAAACTCTGCTGTCTTTCTGGTGTTGCTGTGAGGACAGTAGTAGCCACACAACAACATATTCAACTACGTTATAATAACACTGAATAAGAAACGGGGGAAACCATTTTCTACAGTGACGTACTGACCTGAGTTGAAACCTAGCTTGAAAACAACTTTTCTGTAATCATTTTTAGCATTAGAGCTGCTGCATCCCCCCATTTCTCAAATATCAAGCCCGTTTCCATGTTATGCTACTGCAGTGTTTTAAGATGTTTTCAGAGATAGTTGCACTGTCTCGCTACAAAGTGTCTTATTTTATTGAACTATCCCATGTCCTCTCACAACAAAGGTCCACGGTTTGAACCCACTGGTTGCTCTATGTCTGACATGGTGTGGGAGAAAAATCTGGACCCTGAGGCTGGACTGTTTGGGAACCACTGACCTACACCATTTGCCTGTGCAGCAAATGCCACTGTGGTCTACAGCATAATGTATTGGGTGCACACATATAACACTTCATAAAGGGTCTGTTCACCCAGATTACAAAAAATACATATATTTTCTCACCTGCTTCTAGTGGTATGTAATCATGCAGATAGTCTTGAGTTTTGAGATATCGGCTTTTGAGATTCTTCCTTTATCTCAATGCAATGGAGATGAATGTAATTTTATTTGCAGTGCAGACAACATGAAATCTTTAAAAGCATTCTTTCTTAGTAAACAACATCCAGATCTCACTGTTGAGTAAAAAAAAAAGAATATATA